GAGAAAGACACTGAAGAAAAAGTATAGGTGGGTCACTCACACTAGATTCTGCTCCTAGCTCTATGACCTTAGACACACAGCTATGTGACCTTGGACAAGTTCTACTGCCCTGCTGGACACAAGACCCAGCTCTGATGCAATTTTGTCTGACGCCTATTTATTTGTTGACTGAATAAATAAATTATTGAATGGATGGACGAATTCCTTGCCCTCATAGTGGCCCAAACCTTGAGCCCCTTTGTGGGGCAAGCTCTCTGTAACAATGAGGTAACATGATAAAAGATCCTACCATTGGCAGAGAACTGTATTTCTGTGACTGTAGGTCCAAGGGATCCTAGGTTTAAATCCTGAATCAGTAATTCATTCCACAAGCATTTCTTAAGCATCTACTATGTGCCAGGAACTGTGAATGACAATGGAAGTACAGAACACTCATGAGGGCAAGGATTTGCATCTCTTTTGTTCACTGACATGTTCTAAGTGCCTATAACAGTGTATGGCACATAGTAGGTGCTCAAAAGTATTTCTTGAATGAAAGGATGAAATAATTCCATAGATCTGCGATTTTAAATATGAGGAATACCAGGATGTTTTGAAAACATTTAATAGGGAAACATGACATTGTTTCAGAGAAGGTTTCCCTGAGTAAACAACTAAAGGAGTTAATATATGTAGCACTTCTAGAACAATGCCAGATAGAGAGTAGGTACTCAATACATTTGCTCTTAAAGAGAGAGGGATGGCCAGAGAGGTAAGGAAGTCTGAATGGACCACTATAAGGAGTTTAATTTTTTTCCTGCACGTAATTGGAGCCATCGTAGGGTTTTAGGGTGGAGAGGCACACCGGATTTTTGGTTTGAAAACATCACCCTGGTTGTAGGTGGGGAATGCACAGGAGCAGGTAAGAGTGGAAATAGAGGCAATTGAAGAGGCTGCTGTAGGGAACCATGGCGACTCAGGCCAGAATGTAGCAGTGGAGAGAAAGAAGAGATTCAGGACAGGTTAACCAGGCAGAACTGACAGACCTTGAGACTGCCTGGATGTGAGGGCGAGGGAGTGGAGAGCTGCTGAGGAAGACCCCAGGTTTCTGGTGAGAGAGCTCGTGTTGGTGGTTGTCTGCTTCAGTTCCTCATCTGTAATGCGGGGAGAAAAGGGTTACGGTGAGGATTAAATGAGCTATAGGTGTAAAGCACTTAGAACAACGCCTGACATTGCTGTCATCATCATCATTGTTATCGCTTTACAGTGTTGAAAACTGCAGACGTTTTTTGCTTTTGTACTCATCAACTATTACGAATTGATTTGATCCATTTAAAAAACAGTAATAATTCCTCCCCACAACCCAACTGGCTCTGACTTCCTAAGCCAGCCCCTGCAGCGGCGCTGCAGCCTGGAGCCCAGGCTCTTCCGTCTTCTGCCAATTCCTGTCTTTGTGATCTTGGAGAAAATCAATTCACCCCTCAGAGCTTCGATTTCCCCACCTATAAAGTGGGGCAAGAATCCTTGTTCTGAAAAGGATTCTGTAAGGATTCTGTATCCTGTAAGGCACTACGAGGGACTGAAGGCGGCGGCGGCGACCGGTCCAAGGGAGGCTGTGGAGGCGGGTACCGGGAGAGCCACTCCCCACGGAAGGCCGGGCGCGGCATGACACTTCCCCTCCGCAACACCAGAGGGCGATGTCGCGGGCGGCAGCACCGCCCGAGCCCGGGGGCGGCGCTCCGTCCCGCCGAAGTCTTTCTCCTCCACGTGGGGACGCAGGATGGCGACAGAGGTGGCGGTGGGTGTGCGTGAGTGCGGGCAGGGGCGCCGCGGCGGGGCGCTCGGGCCCGGGGTCCCGCAGACCGGCGGGAGGGGGAAGTGGGGGTCCTCCGGTCCCGGAGGGGTGGCTGACGCCCGCCGCGCTGTTGGCGCAGGACGAGGCGGCGGCGCCCGACGTGCAGCGGCTGCTAGTGCAGTTCCAGGATGAGGGCGGGCAGCTGCTGGGCTCCCCGTTCGACGTGCCCGTGGACATCACCCCGGACAAGCTGCAGCTCGTGTGCAACGCGCTGCTGGCCCAGGTGAGCGGCGGGCCCGCAGTGAGTCAGGAGACCGAAGGTCTGGGGATCAGGGACCCTCGCTACTTACCGACAATGGGCGATACACCCTGGCACGCGTCCGTGGCAGTGCCACCCGCCTCGGGGGAGGGGGGGGTCAGAAGATGTAATCAGTATGAGAGCGCTTTACACGCCGACCATCGGGGTCCCCCTGCGGAGAGAACCCGCGTTTTGAACGCGTTGGGTGCATTGTCAAACTGATTCCTCGCCACAGCCCCTCATTAATATCCCCGTTATACAGTGTGGCCCAGAGGCACTAAATTATTTGCACGATGCCACGCAGTAGATGGTAGCTTTGGAACTGGAACCCAAATGTGTCTCAGACTCAAAACCCATACTCTTCACTCCTAAGCCAGTGTTTTCAAAGTGCTGCCCTCTGATGGGGTGGGAGGTGCTTAAACACGCGGTGCCTGGACCCCACCCCAGACTTACTATGCCAGACTCGGGGGTTGAAGTAAAGAGTCTGCATTTCCAACCAGCTTTTGGGATGCTTCTTACATATTACACAGCGTGAAGTGGTGGTTTAGAAAATGATGCGTGATGCTATATACTAACCCTAATCCTGGACTTGAGTTTTCTTTTTGAAGAACACTAAAGACCCTGAATTAGTCATTAGCAGTTGGACATTGGGCTAATTACTTAGTTGCTCTGAGCCTCATTGTTTTCACCTATCAGTGAGAATATTAATGCTTACCTTGCAGGGTTGATGTAAGATGCAGATAAAAGGGTTTAAAGAGCTATGTAAGCATCCTACAGTTGCCCTTCAAGGATTAAAAAGGTCTCGTTCAGTGGGGAAGGATGGGAGTATCCCAAGCAGGGTGGCTGAGAAGGAAGCCTCACTTCCCCACGGCTCAGTGGGGAGCATCCCTGGTGAGGTGGCCCCTGCCATCCTTTGATGGGGGAGTTGCCCTGTGCCATTGCCCTCCAGGAGGATCCGCTGCCACTGGCTTTCTATGTCCACGATGCTGAGATCGTCTCCTCACTGGGGAGGACGCTGGAGTCACAAGCGGTGGAGACGGAGAAGGTCCTTGACATCATCTACCAGCCGCAGGCTATCTTCAGGGTCCGTGCGGTGACCCGCTGCACCAGCTCCTTGGAGGGTCACAGCGAGGCGGTCATTTCCGTGGCCTTCAGCCCCACAGGAAAGTAAGTACAGCTGCAGAATTGTGGAGGGGAGTGTGGGGGTGCAGCCTCTGGCTGTGGTGATGGAGGAACCCACAAGTTACGATCAATGGGGCCTCAGGCTGCCTACCATAGACTCGAGCTCTCGGATCAGGTTGCAAGTAAGGGACTTCCCCAGTGGGACTTGGTCCACAAAGGCTGAGGACACCTGCCTCAGAAGAGCCCTTCCTGGACTTGATCTCAGGACATCTGAGCTGCACGCTCAGCTCTGCCTCTTCCTAGCTGTGTGACCTGGGCACGTCACTTAAGCTTTCTGAGTTAATTCTTCATCTGTGAAACTGGGTTTATTTGCTTCTCACAGTCCTATGAGGATAATGAGAAGCTTCAAATGTGGCTATAGCTGTAGCCATTCCTTTTAGGAAGAGGAGAGAAATGGCCTCCTGGGATCTTCTCCTAGATGGCATCAGTGTTATATTTCTCCTTTTCAGGGGAGAAAAAAAGTCCAGTCCCAGATTCTGTTCCCAGAAGACGGCGGCAGAAACGCACATGTGCAGTGTCTTGGGGTGGGCCCCCTCCCCTCTCCCCACTGAAGAGGTTAGCCGGCCTCTTTTCTTTCCCAGGTACCTGGCCAGTGGCTCCGGAGACACCACCGTGCGCTTCTGGGATCTCAGCACCGAGACACCACATTTCACATGTCAGGGTCAGTATGTGGTTAGCCATTTAGAGGGTCTTAACGCAATGGTGGGCGGGTTATTCCCTCAGCTGTTTAGTTCCTCAGGAGGCCCAGAGCAGATTCCAGTCTCTTCACATCTGGTGAGTGGTTGCCTGTTCCCAGGTAGAGACTGTACCCTTGAGCCCATCCAGCCGCTTACAGACAAGCAGAGACTCGACCAGAGTCAGTGTGGGGCTGTGGGAAGGGTCTGGCTGGCTGGTAGCATGGGGAACCTGGCTTAAATCCACCCTCTGCCACAGCGGGTCTCAAACTTGAGGATACATCTGAGTCACCTGGGGCTTGTTAAAATACAGATTACTAGGTCCCACCCCCAGAGTTGTTGTTTCATTAGGTCTGGGGAAGAGTCTGAGAATTTGCATGTCAAGTCCCCAGGTGATGCTGATGCTGCTGGCCTGGGGACCACACGCTAGCTGGGTGACCTTGTGTGTGCAGGGCCTGCTTCCTTTCTAAGCTTCAGTGTTCTCATCTGGAAAATGGGAATGATAGTTTTTGTTCTGCTTCATACCTTAGAGCTGTTGTGAGAATTACAAGGGATGATGTGTGGAAACACTTTATACCACGTATCACGTAAGGCATTGTTAGAAAGTGGCAGTGTCGTCTGTGCGGCAAGATGCAGAGCAGTAGCATTTGGGGTGGATTCTCCCTTTGCCTAGAAAGCCTCATCTCTCCTTTTGTTCGATTGTTCATCTATTCAGCAACTAGTTGAGGAGTTCCTGCAATGTGCCAGGCATTGCTAGGCACTGGGGATGAAGACAGATGTGGCCCCTCCTTTCTCCCTCTTCTGCTTTCTTAGGACACAGACACTGGGTCCTTAGCATATCCTGGTCCCCAGACGGGAAGAAGCTGGCCTCAGGCTGCAAGAATGGCCAGGTAGGTGGTGGTCAGGGTAACTAGGCAGGGACTTGGGGGCTCCGTTCCTGGGAGATGGGTCAGAATCAGGTTCTGGGGTCTTTAGGGGGGAGGGTCGGGTGGGGTGAGGGGCGGGGGACCTTTGGTGGACCACGGACAGCCTGGGGAGGGTTATTCAATGAGCTTCTGACCTTCAGATTCTCCTGTGGGACCCAAGCACAGGGAAGCAGGTGGGCAGGACCCTTGCCGGCCACAGCAAGTGGATCACGGGCCTGAGCTGGGAGCCCCTCCATGCGTAAGTGACAGTGACAGAGCTGGGGCAAATGAGGAGCCAGAGGTTCAAAGCTGTCCCCCTCCCCTGCTTGATGCGAGGAGTTTTACCTGAGGGCGAGGTGGGCAGTCTGGCTGACAGTGACAGCGTAGCAGGCAGTGGGGAAGGTCTTCTGTGCCTACGTTGCTGCTCTGGGGCGGGCTGCTCATCACGGGGCCTGAGAGCTGCCTTGTGCGCAGCCAGACCTTGGGGTTGGGAAGCTGTCGGGACGTTATCCATGACTTTATGCTGGGAATGGGGAGGTGCGCTGGCAAGACAGGCATCGCCAGGTCAGAAGTGAGGTCACGTCTCCCTCTCCAGGAACCCCGAGTGCCGCTACGTGGCCAGCAGTTCCAAGGACGGCAGCGTGCGGGTCTGGGACACGACTGCGGGCCGCTGTGAGCGCATCCTCACCGGGCACACGCAGTCAGTCACCTGTCTCCGGTGGGGCGGGGACGGGCTTCTCTACTCTGCCTCCCAGGACCGCACCATCAAAGTCTGGAGGGCTCACGATGTAAGAGCTGAGAGGGTTCAGAAACCAGCCTGGGGAGTTCTCAGGCCAGGGGACATGGGCGCTGGAAGGAGCGTTGACCACTGTTTTCCAAATGTGTTCTGGGAGCCAGGTCGGGAGGCGCTTCAGGAACAGGGGTCCTGTGGTGGGTGCTGCACTCTAGTGGAGGTTCCAGCGTCCATTAGTGTGGTCAGGCTCTCGAAATTCCCCCTGTAGGAAGCTTATTTAGCTTTATCGAACCTGCCGTATTCCAAACTTACTTGACTGGAGCCCTTGTGTTCTGACATATTTAACTTCCCTTCCATGACACTTATTTTCAGAAACATTGATCTGGGCTGGTGCCTTCATTTTAGAAATGAGGAGAGACTTGAGCCCAGTGGGGTGATTTGATTAAGTTCACAGTCAATGAGGGTGTTAATTCTGAGTCCCATGCCACCCATCTTCTGGAGCTAATCTAGGGGTGCAAGTTCTTACGGGTGGAGAGTGGTGAGTGTGTCTGACCTGTCTCCCTCTGCCCTAGGGCGTGCTGTGCCGGACTCTGCAAGGCCACGGCCACTGGGTGAACACCATGGCACTCAGCACTGACTACGCCCTGCGCACAGGGGCCTTTGAGCCAGCGGAGGCCTCAGTTAACGCCCAAGACGTCCAGGGGTCCTGTGAGTGAGCGAGAGAAGGAGGGGAAAGGGCTGCTTGGGAGGGATCCAGTTCTCTAGCTTAATGTGTGAGAGTCAGACCTAGGCTGGGGGTGTTTGATGTTTGTGTTGGATTTTCTAACCAGCCTTGTTCCTCGTCTCCCTCTCTCCCCTCTGGCACCTGGACACAGTGCAGGAGTTGAAGGAGAGGTCTCTGAGCCGATACAACCTCGTGCGGGTGAGTATGTGCCAGCCGCCAGCATCCCCAGCTCTGTACTCTTCCCCTCCTGGTCCCTAAAACTCTGCAGACACTCAGGCCGCTCTCCCTTCTAGCCCCAGCTCAGCATGTACCTCCAGAAAGTTGTTCTTCATAATCCTAGCCTACAATCCTAAGATCTTAATGCGTGCGCTTGAGATCATTTTATTTCATTTTGTTTATTTGCTTATCTATTTATTGCATTCCCAAGATACCTCTCTTCATTTTATTTAGTTTGCTTAAGTAACACATTTACGTGGCCTGAAGTTCAAAGAATACGAAAAGGTAGATAGTGAAAAGTCTCCCATCTCTGTTGCACATCCATCCATTCCTTCCAGAAGCATCCAGTACTACCAGTATCCTCTGTCTCCGTCCAGAGACTTTATATATACACATACATGTATATACATACACTATATACAACACACGTACACACATGTATACAAACTCACATGCAAAATCTTTCCCCCTTTTAACACACCATTCTGTACCTTGCTTTTTCATGTGATTATGTATCTCAGAAATCCTCCTGTGTGCATAAAGTTTCCTTTTGGAGGAAGTAACCCATGTGAGTTAGTGGCTGACCCAGGCCTCATTTCTCCTGGTCCCAGCCTCCGTGCTGGCGTTGTAATCAGTGGTATGTGTTTGCTGCCGAGCACGGGCTCTCCTGAGACCATGTCCAACATGGTGTGCTTCCTGCCTCCCCTAGGGCCAGGGCCCAGAGAGGCTGGTGTCTGGCTCAGACGACTTCACCTTATTCCTGTGGTCCCCAGCAGAGGACAAGAAGCCCCTCGCCCGGATGACGGGACACCAGGCCCTCATCAACCAGGTGCTCTTCTCCCCTGACTCCCGCATCATCGCCAGCGCCTCCTTTGACAAGTCCGTCAAGCTGTGGGATGGCAGGACGGGCAAGTGAGTGGGGGCGTGGGAGAGTGAGGAGGGCCACTGTTCCTCGGAAGGAGCTTGGCTTTGCGACTTACCAGCTGTGTGGCCTTGGCAAGTGTTTGGATTTTCTGAGCCTCTGTTTCCTCTTCTGTAATGTGCAGACACCTTCCCTCTCAGCTTTATGACAAGAACTAAAGGAAATTTATATTTAGGGCCAGCACTAAGTGAGCCCTGAAACGGCTAGTTCATTTCACATCTAAGGAGAGAAACGATCTTAAAGCTGGCCGAGGGCCAGGGATGCGGCAGAAGTGTAGGTTTGTGGGACAGTCGTTATCTGGCCCTCCTCCAAGTGTGGTCCACAGACCAGAGGCATCACCTGGGAGTTTGATAGAAATTCGTAATCTGCATTTTAATAAGGTCACCAGGTGATTCTGCTCGCCACTGAAGTCTGAAGCACAGGTGTAACGAGGCACAGTGCCCTTGGCGTAATTAGGTTGGAGAAGAGGCAAAGCCCTGGGCAAGACGAGAAGAGGAGCAAGGGAAGCCCTTGTGGGGCGGAAGGGCACCTGTGTGTCAGTCACAATGTATTTTCACACAGCAACCTTTTGAAATAGGCCATTCAGTTCCATTTTAAAATAAGGAAACTGAGTCTCAGAGAGGCCTAATGACGTGTCCCAGTAGACACAGCTGGTGTGTATCGACCTGAAGTTCTAGGTGGGCCTGGCCCACTATTATTCCATGCCACCTGTCAGCAAGTGACTGTGTGTAGGGGGATGTCAGGCAGATGGGCTAAGCAGATGGCTGCATTGGATTCTAAGGCACGCAGAGTTGTGCAGGTATGGAGGCCTGGCGAGAGGCACCCTAGAAGCAACCCATTTGGAGAAGTTTTACAAAATCGTAATGACCGGTAATGATAAATTGGTCTGGGGTGGGGGTCCAGCCGTGAGGTTTTGTAAAAGTTCCCAGGTAATTCTAACAGGCAGCCAAGGTTGAGAACTACTGCTGTGGGCAGAGGACCCTTCAGTCGTGTTGAAGATCTAATATCCATCGTCATCTTCCCCTGGCCCAGGTACCTGGGTTCCCTGCGTGGCCACGTGGCTGCCGTGTACCAGATTGCGTGGTCAGCCGACAGCCGGCTCCTGGTCAGCGGCAGCAGTGACAGCACACTGAAGGTGTGGGATGTGAAGGCCCAGAAGCTGGCCACAGACCTGCCAGGCCACGCAGATGAGGTGCGGCAGACCCTTGCTTGTGTCAGGGGTGGAATTGAAGCCTGGCCCTCCTCCCCCCACCCTCCTCACTGCCCCACTTCTGCTCCTCCTCGGTTTAGGTATATGCTGTCGACTGGAGTCCCGATGGCCAGAGAGTGGCAAGTGGTGGGAAGGACAAATGCCTCCGGATGTGAGTTTGGGGGAGGTGGTAGCTGATGTGTTTGGCTTTCCTTCCCTTGAGTTGGTCGCTCTTTGCAACTTTCCTTTCTGGCGTAGAATTCTGAGGGCTCTCCGGGTGCCCAGAGGGTCCCTGAGACGGTGTGCGGAGCCAGGTTCTCAGTGGGCAAGTGGGAGGGCTCTAGGAATTGCAGGGATCATGGGAGACCCTGAGGGTTCTCAGGCCGCTCTGCACAGGCGAGTCCAGGGTCCCTCCAGGTGAGGCGGTAGTTCTTTGTTAGAGCGCTGGACTTTGGAGTCCTAAGACCTAGTTCAAATCCTGGTGCAATCTTGGAGAGTTTAGTTAATCCGTCTCTTAGGAGTTATCAAACCTCAGTAGACAGGAGGTTCAAAGGTAGGAGGTGAACACACCTCAGAACCTGAAGCATTGTGTGCTTGTAAAAGATTGTTGCTATTTGTCATTAGAAGACCATGGTGGACACTCAAGGGGCCAGGCCCCGGGATGAGTTGCTGGCCGAGGCAGGCGGTGGGTGCCTAGCCTGAGTTTGCGTGGCTAGAGCAGAGACAGTAGCCAGACTCTTGATGACTCTCCCTGGTAGTGGGCTCCTGGGATTATATGGCAGCCTCCCTTTCCTATGGTGGGATCTCCATCCTGTTCCCTTTCCTTCTCCACAGATGGAGGAGATGAGAAATCCCACAGTTCTCTCTGACCCCTGCCTGGACTCAGCCTGTGCCAGCTGCCTGCCCTGACAGAGACCAGAGGCCAGGGTGGTGACCCTGAGAACAGGCGTGGCCTGATGTCCTTGGACAGACCCCAGTGGGGTCCCTCCCCAGAGCAGGAGGTCGAAGGTCACAGGAAGTCATCATGGAGCCCAGCCCATGGCCATCACTCTGTACCTTGCTGGTGCCAACCATGGTGGCAGGAGGCTGGACAATGACTGGACCCCTGCTTCTATCCCGCCTCCTTTTCCAGTGTCAGCTCTATTCAGGTTCAGACTCCAGATTCTATGACCAAATAAATAACTTATATTTTGTGTGTTTGGGTTATAATTCCTTGTCCTAGAATCCGAGGGCTCAACCAGGGACCGTGCTAAGAAGTCACTTTGTCTAGCCCCATCCCTCTGCACTGGACTTCGCCAAAAGCATACTGACCGGGAAGTTGCCTTTGCTCTCTTCCCCTGTGCTTGTGAGGGAGCGGCCCGTTGAGGCTAGGGAGGCTGGCTGAAGCCTCTCTGGTAGTGGCCAGAGGATAATCTAAGGCAGTGCTGTCCAGTATGACAGGCACTAGCCATAGGTGGCTATTCCTATTGACTAGATTCCCTAGAGGGAGAAATGCCATCCTCAGTCTCACTGGCTCAGTGGGGCTCCTTACTGTGTTGGACAGCACAGACAGGACGCTTTCATCACCACCTGGAGTTCCGCTGGCCAGTGCTGCTCTGAGGGGTGCTTCCTCGGCCTCTCCCAACAGCACGCTTCTGGAGGCTCTGCCATGTACCGAGCACCGTGCTGGGCTCTCGGGGTAGGGGGGAGGCCATGGCTGTCCCCAGAGACTCCCTCTGACAGGGCGTGTAGGGATACGGTAAGAGCTCCAGCAGAAGCAGCTGTGGTCTCATATGGGAGGATAGTTCTATGCCCCAGGAGGACGTCCTCACACCCTTGGCCAGGATCTTGCCTTCCATGCATCCTGCCTCGCTTTCCCCTGTTCTTTTTTTTCCCCCCCAAAGCCCCAGTAGATAGTTGTATGTCGTAGTTGCACATCCTTCTAGCTGCTGTATGTGGGACGCGGCCTCAGCGTGGCCGGAGAAGCGGTGTGTCGGTGTGCGCCCAGGATCTGAACCTGGGCCGCCGGTAGCGGAGCACGAGCACTTAACCGCTAAGCCACGGGGCTGGCCCTTCCCTGTTCTGATGCTCACGCGGGTCTGCTCAGGTGGAATTCCAAGCCACCCTGTATGGACTGCTCAGGGCCCCAGCATTTCTAAGCTCATTCCTTCTCATCCTCCCCCACCCCCATCCGTGCTTGTGTGATTTTGCATATGGATGGCTGTGGTCCTTGGCTTCTGCCCTGGCCCTGCCGTCTCTGCAATGAGGCGGCATGGAGCAAAGGGAGGCACCAGTTGCTGAGCCTGCTCTGTGCAGGCACTCCTGCTGTGCTCTCACAGGACCCTCACACCACCCCTGCAGCCATGTCTGGAAGAGTCTCACATCCCCGTATTTGTGATGAGCAAATAGCCCAGGAAGCTTAAATAGTTGCCCGTGCCCTCACATCCAGGGAGAGCCAGGATTACATCAGACCCTGCCCCAAAGTTTGTGCACTTGACACCATGTCCCTCTGGAGCTCAAGTCTGATGCTGACAGTCTACGGGCTGCCACCACCTCTGTGCAACATTGCTGTTTTTCCTGGTGTGAGGGTATTTTAGTCTGAGTACCAGCTCTTCCTCGCATGGGGAAAGGGGTGATGCTGACAGAGCCAGGCAGTAGGTGTGGTAGCATGCCATTACCCCACCACCCTTGTTTTCTATCCTCCACCCACCTGGACTCTTGGTCCTGGCAGAAGCTAGGAAGGTGGATGCCAGTGGCCCAGCTGAGGCTGTCTGCAGCATGAAGCAGACTGTAGGGGCACTGGATGACTTGCAGTACTTTAATGAAGAACCTGGACCCAGCCCAGATCTGGGGAAGGGGGCCTAGTAGCTGTGGGCAGTGGCTGCCCTGGCCTGCAGTGTCTCCACGTGAACGGAGCTCTGTCTAGCCTTGGCCCCAGCCCAGTTATGGAGTTCTGGTATCACTGCCACCAGGCCCTGGGCCGGCGGGGTCGTCAGTGTTTCCCTGGCACGGTGCTGGTGGTCCATTTAATGCTTCTAGTTCCTGAGGGCCTTGGACCAAAGCTGAAGGTAGGTGAGGGGCTTCCTGGAGCCTTCCCCCTTTGTAGGGAAACAGGCATTGCAGATCTTCTTGCCTCCGCATGTCCTCCAGCCTGATGAACACGGTTTTCCGCTGGGGTTCCTTGCGTAGCACGGTGATCTGGATGGGGTTGTGATCGGGGAAGATGTTCAAGTCAGTGGCCACGGTTGCAAACTGAAATAAAACAAGAAAACCCCTCAGACTTCCTCCCCAGACCTGAGCTCTGTCTCTGCAGCCCCCTCTTCTGTTTGCTAAATGGGATCTTAGCTAGCCTTGCCAACCTTTTCATTGAGTCCGGAAACAGGTACAGAGAGGCATGATTCCAACCTCTGCCTCCCTAGTGGTGATGTTTCCAACCACAGGGCTGTCTGTGCTCGGGCCTCTCTTCCCTGGGCCCCTGCCTACCCCCAGGCTGCTCCCTTTCCTCTGTTTCCCTCAATGCCCTTGACTCCCCAGCCCTCTCACAATCATTAGTAGTAAGTTGAAGAATCCAAAAACCAATGGCTTTGGAAGATGAACATTCTAGAGATGCTGAGGAATATGTTAGTTTGCATTCCCAGTGGGGCCCAGAGCGGCTTAATCCTTAAACCTCCCAGAAGAGAACAGCCTGGAATTGAGACTTATTTGCCCAGGCAGAAGGAAAGCAAGCAGAGAGATGAGTCAGAGGGGAATAGAGCTGTTCCCAACCCCCAAAGTCCCTGGTTTAGACTTCCCTCCCTGCCCGTGGGCCCCTCTTCTCCCGGGGCTCACTTTGTAGGGCTTGCACCACTTCCCCACCCCAGCTGTGTTAGCCGCGCGGGCGGTGAGGCAGTAACTTGTGTTAGGCTTCAGCTCCATCAGCTTGACGGTGATGCCCAAGATCTTGTTGAAGATCCATGGGCGATTCTTTGCCTTGGGCGGCTCATTGTCATTTTTCTTTGCCACCTCCTGCAACAGGACCTGGTAGAAACTGACTTGCTGCTTGCCCAAGGCATAGGTCCAGGAAATCTGGGGGAAGAGAGCCCCCGAGGCTTCCTCAGACCTGGCCCGACCCGTCCTCCTCACCCGCGCCCCACGTGGGTCAGAATGCCCCACTCCCATCCCCTGCCCCCACTGGAGCTGAGGCAGGTCTGGTGGAAGAGAATCACCCACCTGCAATGTATGCTACTCTCCCTGGGCAGCCCCACTCACCTCAGAGTGTGCCCTCATTCTCTATTTCTTCTGGGCTGTCTGTGTCAGTTGGGAGGGACCTTAGAGATCACCTTGTCCACCTTGGTCATTGCAGATGGGGTTACAGGTTCAGAGAGGGCAAGTGGCTGGCCCATGGTCACACAGTTAAGTGACAGAGGCAAGGTTCAAGCCAATAGCTCCAGAGCCCATAAAACTTGTCCTACAACAGTGGTTGCCAAGCCTGGCTAAGGATCTTGGGGAGTTTTTATACCACTGCAGATTCCTGGCCCTGCTGTATCCTATCTGGTCTCCCATTTCCATTTTCCCCTCCATCTGGGCCAGTGGTTCTCAAACTTTGGTGTGCATCAGAATCCCCTGGAAAACTTGTTAAAACACAGATTGCTGGTCCCCACTCCCACAGTTTCTGATTCAGTGGGCCCAAGTTGGGGGGGCGGGGGGTGGCGAGAATTTAAATTGCTAACAAGCTGCCATATGATGCTGATGCTGCTACTGGTCTGGGAACCACACTTTGAGAAACCCTGCTCTCCACTGCCATCCAACAATGGGGCTTCCAGATTTATCTTCCTAAAATACAGGTCAAATTGCATCCATCGCCTGATACAAAGCTTGGTAAAAAGCTGTTCCCTATTGTTTACAGAAAAATCTATAAAGTAACCTCACACTGGAGGACCTTGGGAAAATGACCCCAGACTGACTTTCCCCTCTGTCCCTCTTTCTGCACTCTAGGACATTGCTACTCAACATGCGGTCTGTGGGCCATCAGCGCCTCCTGGGAATTTGTTAGCAGTGCAAATTCTCAGGCCCCACCCCAGACCTACTGAATCAGAACCTCCAGTGGGGGAGGCCTAGGAATCTCATTTGTAACAAGATGATCAGATCTACAGGTGCCTGAAAGTAGGAGAAGCCCTGGATTAGGACATGGGTGGTTCTACCCACATGTCCCCACCTTTGCAGGGGTGGGGGGAGTCTTTGCTAGTGTCAGCCTCTCCATAGAATGCCTTTCCCCATCTCTAGGTGTTTAGATCCTACCTCTTCGTCCCAGCCCAAAAGTTACCAAAAGCCACCAAGCTTATTCCTGCACCTGGAAGTAATGTTTCTTTCCCTCTGGATTCTTGGTGGTACTTGATCTGAACTCTTCCTAGAGCACTGAGCCCTTGCTAGCTTGCACTGGAGTTCTTTACAGCCATGCCATCTCTCCTAACCCAAGAACTTGAGGTCAGGATGCAGGTGGTAGGTATCTTCACATTCCCCATGGAGCTCAGCCCAGTGCCTGGCACACAGTAAGCCTTAGTCAAATGCACGAGGAGGGAAACGCACCACAGCGGTGGAATCGCTGACCGTGTGTTCACAGATGAAGGGCGCCTCGGGCACATCCACCATCACAGAGGACTCCGAGGACGTCGAGGAGGTGTCTATATCCAGCTCAGGGTTGTCAAGGTCCAGAATGCCCCCAGGGGCTATCTGGGACTTAGATTGGTGGGGGCAGAGGGCCAGGTCCCCCTTTTCTGTATTCTTGGCCATCGAGGAGAAGCTGAGTTTGTTCAGCTCGCCCTCCAGCATCCCCGCAAAGAAGCTGCTGTTGGGCTGGGTCACAACCAGTTTGATGGGATTCAACAAGGTGGATGAGACGGGGGAGACGCTGGTGTCATCGGAGCTGCATTCAGAATCTTCCAGTGGTATCAGTTTCCTGGGGTGGGGGGGAGACAGATGAGCCAGGTGAAGAAGGCCACCCCAGCCCATCAGGCCGGAAGTTCCTGCAGGGCAGGCCTTGGGCCTGACTTACCAGCATCCCAGCTGCTTCTGAACAGCTCAGAACATCCTTATTGCTCTGCAGCAGTGTATGAAACCCATCAGGGCACTTATAAATGAAAAACACACATTCCTGGTCCCTGGTCCCCAGTTGGGATGGGACTGGGAAGCTGCTAAAGTATCTTTGATAAGATCCTCAGATGATTCTGATGCAGGTGTTCTGAGGACCACGATTTGAGAAACACTGGGAAAACTTTGTCCTCCCTCCAAAGTGGGGTGCAAATACCCCAGGGAATGACCAAAATGACCTACTGCAGTATGGGAAAATATCTAAAAGTACTTAAAAGAAAAATAACTAAGCTTTACTAATATTTATTTACTATTGTTTAATATTTAATGTAATTACTAATTAATTTACTTAGATTTTATAACATTTAACAGTATTAATACATAGCATGTAAAATTAAAAGTATACAGATAAATATACATATATTGGGTGAATGCTCAAAAACATTTTTTCCATTCTAATTTTGTTAAATTATGAAATATTTTAGACATACAGAAAGACATCAAGAATAATATATTAGGGGGCCAGCCCCATGGCGTAGCAGTTAAGTGCGTGCACTCCGCTGCTGGCGGCCTGGGTTCGGATCCCAGGCGCACACTGATGCACTGCTTGTCAGGCCATGCTGTGGCAGCATCCCATATAAAGTGGAGGAAGATGGGCATGGATGTTAGCCCAGGGCCAATCTTCCTCAGCAAAAAGAGGAGGATTGGCATGGATGTGAGCTCAGGGCTGATCTTCCTCACCAAAAATAATAATAATAATATATTAATGGAGATGTAATGTACAGCATGGTGACCATAGTTAATAATACTGTATTGTATGTTGAAAGTTGCTAAGAGAGTAGATCTTAAAAGTTCTCATCACAAGAAAAAAATTTGTAACTGTGTGGTGATGGATGTTAACTAAATTTATTGGGGTAATCATTTCGCAATATATACATATATTAAATCGTTATGTTGTACACCTTAAACTAATATAATGTTATATGTCAATTATATCTCAATAAAACTGGAAAAAATAAAATGAACATATGATAAAGTGAGGAAATAAAAGAATAATGTATTAAGTTTCCATTTAGCCACCATCCAGCTTCAGAACGAAAGCTTCATCAGTATAGGCAGAGCCCCTGGATACTTCCTTCCCTCACCTCGCTCCTTAACCAGTGAATTTTCAATTTTATGTTTATTATTCCCTGTGTGTGTTTTTTTTGTGGGTGAGGAAGATCAGCCCTCTGCTAACATCTGCCAGTCCTCCTCTTTTTTTTGCTGAGGAAGACTGGCCCTGGGCTCACATCCATGCCCATCTTCCTCTACTTTATATGGGACGCCGCCACAGCATGGCTTGCCAAGCTGTGCATCGGTGCACGCCCGGGATCTGAACCGGTGAACCCCGGGCCGCCACAGCAGAGCGCGTGCACTTAACCGCTTGCGCCACCAGGCCAGCCCCGCTGTGTGTCTTTATAGGTTTGTCACATATGTATGTTATCCCTAAGCAAAATCTGTTCTTCTGCATATTTTTATACTTTACACAAATAAATGGTATCATTCACTACATATCCATCGGCAGCTTGCTTTCTCACTCAACACCGTGTTTTTTTAGATTCATCTGTATTGATATACGTAGCTCTGGTTCAGTCATTTTAACTGTTGTATGGTTTTCCATTACGTGGATATTTGTTATTGGTATTGTTAGAAATATTGTTAGCAACAAAGAATTGTTACCAATTCTTTGCTATTACAAAGAAAAACCTTGTACATGTTTCCCCACTATTTAAAAACTTTTTTACTGATGAAGTGCAGAATCCAGAGGTTTGGCTTTCCAATCTTTTTTGACCTTGACCCAAAGTAAGGAATACATATTACTTAGCAACCTAGTATAGATAGTCCCTGACTTGATGATGATTCAACTTTACAATGGTGTGAAAGCAATACGCATTCAGTAGAAACTGTACTTCAAATTTTGAATTTTGATCTTTTCCCCGGCTAGTGATACGCAGTAGGATCCTCTCTCGTGATGCTGGGCAGCGGCAATGACCAGAGCTCCCAGTCAGCCACACGATCACAAGGGTAAACACGGGATGCGCTTACATCCATTCTGTACCCAGACAACCATTCTGTTCCTCACTTTCAGTACAGTATTCAACAAATTACAGGACATAGTCAACACTTTATTATAAAATAGGCTTTGTGTGAGATGGTTTTGCCCAACTGTGGGCTAATGCAAGTGTTCTGAGCACATTTAAGGTAGGCGAGGCTAAGCTATGATGTTCACTGGTTAGGTGTATTAAATGCATTTTCGACTTAGGATATTTTCAACTTACGATGGGTTTATTGGGATGTAACCCCACTGTAAGTTGAGAAAGATTCATATACTCATACATAACATGAAACTACAATATGTTTCACAAACCAGTACTTACTCTGTGTGATGTGCTCTGGAATTTTCGTTCTATTTTATCTCATTTTTATAATACTGGTCTCCACCAACTAGAATGATGAGTTCCTGACCCATTAATGGGTCACAACCCATAGTCTGAAGAGCAGTGATCTAGAGAGAGCAGTCACAGGGCTTTTGGGGGCCAAGCCCCCTGACCAAAGTCACACAGTGAGTTGATGGCAGAGCTGGAATCAGAACCCAGATCTCCTGGGCTCCACGCCGTCTCCACGTTATGCAGCCTCCATCTCCCCCAGTGCTTTCTGGCTCCTCTCCTCTGCTTCCTCCCCCATCTCCCTCGGCTGCTCTGGCCAGGTCCAGCACCCGACACACACCCCTGGATCCCTTTTTCCAGGCCAGCCTCTGGCTTCATCATTGATTGATGGGCCACATTTTTCTTCTCTGAACTCCAGCCCCATCGACCTTTTCCTAAGAAATCCCGCTCAACCCAAACCTCCTGTGCTAGCCCTTGGTGGACATTTGCAATAGATGATTCCCCCACCAAGGTCCTTTGTAGGCGGAAGAGCTTGTGTATTGACGTCATCTATACTTCAGACTGTCCTAATGAATCTCTATGTTAGATTTACTTATTCACAACACCAGTGCTGAAGTGGGCATGAGGGGCAGCTAGGCATGGGGCCATATGCTGGACAAAAGCACTTTCTGACCTTCACAACACCCTGCTGGATGGGTGTGAGCTCCATTTTGCAAATGAGGGACTGAGGGTCCCTGATCTTAATTAACTTGTCTATGGCCATCTACCTAAGTGATAGAACCTGGATTTGAACTTGGACTCCTAGCCTGAGACTCTCCCACCATACCATGAGGTTTCCTACAAGCACCTGTCATTTCAGCCATACCAGCTCACTTACACGTCCCCTAGGAAATGGACACCGTATCCCTTTCATATAATCAGGACTGGCTACATAGATCGTGAGGCCCCTTCTTCAAAAATTATTAAGAATTTCAAGACAGTGACAGCAGAGCCTTAAACTAAGCACAGGGCCCTTCTAAGTGTGGGGCTGTGTGGGAAACACACACCCATGAAACCGCCCTGCAGATCCCACATCAACCCACACCACCACCCCTTCACTGGCTAACTCCCTCCCTTCCTAGGAGATTCAGCTCATATATCACCTCCTCCAAGAAGCCTCCCTTAACTGCACTCCTCCACAACTTATACTAAGCCCCCTCTGGTTCCTCAAGGTGTCCTGACATAGCACAGACCATGCCATATTATTCTGGATTCTTGCCTGACACCCTTCCAACACACACACACACACACACACACACACACACACACACACACCAGGCTGGGAGCTCCTTGAAGGCAGGTACTGTGCTTTCCAGCTCTGGATTCCCAGAACCTAACACTGGCCCAGACACCTTGCAGGGGCTCAAAAAGTTTTGTGGAATGAAGTAAAGGGAACCCAGAATCCCTGAAAAGGAACAGTAAACCTCAGTCTGAAGGCAGGCAGGCTACTGGGGGGACATAATCAGGCAGGCAAAGGCACCAAAAGGAAGGATTGAGGGAGAGGAGCCATGGGGGAGTGGAATGGGGCAGGGGTGTCTATGTGGGGGTGGTGAGGACTGTAGCTAGACAAAGCAGGATGAGAAGGACTATCAACAAATCTCTGACGAATCCTGGAAGGCTTCCTAGAGCAGGAGGCCAACATGCCTCCAAGAACTGATTTGGGGTCAGGAACCCATATGCTGCACACATGCTCTTGCCTGGGAATCCAGGGACAGGGTTGTGACAGGTCAAGGAAGTACTGCCTCTTCAAGCCCCTCTCCCCAACCCCCCAGCTCTGGACTCAGAAAGGAGGAAAGGGCCCGATTTGTGTCTTACGGTAGATTGATGGTATCTTCCTCCAAGAAGTTAACCAAACTGCCTGTCGAGGAAAGCTGGAGTCCTTTGGTAGTGATGGTCCTGTTCATCGACTTGGGGTTTGGAAAGGGCTTCGACATTTGATTGAGCACGTTCAAAACGTTGAGGGTTTCCTTCTTCATCGTGGCCTCTTCCCCATCTCCGACTTTGTAGTGCGCCTCTGATGCCATCTGATTTGTTTGGGACCACAGCTGTCACCATGCGGGACAACCAAGCTGACAGGAAGCAGAGAGAAACTGGGGGCAGCGGAGCTACCCTAAGTTTGGGTGCGATGGGTGTGCAATGAGCTGACTTCATAATCATTCCAGAGTGTAACAATCGGGGACCAGCCTCCTCCGTGATCTGAGGCTGCTGCTGTCCAGGGCCAGTGTCAGGGCTGGGGTAGAGGGTACAGCCAAGGAACAGATTACCTCACCCCTTGGGCCCCTTCCAGGCCTAACTGTGGTTACGACAGCCCTGCCCTTTCCTGAAGATCTCAAAATGCTTACCACCTTTTTCCTTCAGAGTTGCCCTGGGAAGGAGGAAAAGGATGGTGAGAGAAAGGCAGCCGGGCATGGAGGGAGGCGGCAGGGGCCCGGGGATGGCAGTACTGGAACGGGTGGGAGAATTCTTTATAGAATGCTGAGGCTCAATCTGCAGAAATCTTGGGCAGCAAACCCCCACTCCATCCAGTCATCCAGGCACAGGGAAAGCCTAGATGGTCCATAGCTCACACTTACCCAGGTTTTACTGCTAGAATTCTAAATGCGCCATGCCCAAGTGTCTGCCTGTGTTGAGTGACTATGGTGGGTGCTGCAGAGGGATATAAAGATGGGCCAGACATTACTTCTGTTCTCAAGGAAACCACTTTACAGTAGGAAAACATACACACCTTCGGGGGTGGGGAGAGGCTGTTAAGGAAGCACTGGCTTTGCACTTAGATGTGGATTTGACCACTCGAAGTCCTGCTGTGCACTTACAGGCTGTGTAACCTTTGGCAAGTGACTCACCTCACTGCGCCTCAGTCTCCTCATCTGTGAAACAGGGATACAAGTAGCACCTACCTCATTGGACTGTGAGGAGATAACCCTGTAAAGCTGTTTTATTTCTTCCAGAGGATGAGGCAAAGCAAAGGACATTTAAAAATACCAAATCTGGGCCAGCCCTGCGGCTTAGCAGTTAAAGCGCTCTCCACTACTGGCCG